TGTCTGTCCTCCTCCTCTTGGAAATACGAATCCATTCACACGCAGGACGTCCTGGGAAATGCATCCCTTTCGGGGCTCCCAAAGGACAGATTCTCGAAAGCAGCATGTGCTGGGGTTTACAGCATTTGCTAGTTGTGCACGCCGACCCCAATTCTACCCAAGAGCTGGGGTTGAAAACGCTGCGAAGGTCGTGGCACCCACCTAGGTAGCTTTTGTTTCTAGGCTTGCTTTCGAAGGTATTTTCTTTCCTTCCTTGCTAGAGTTCATCAGCTCGGGCTGCTCATTCATTCGTCCGCTGAGCTTGCCGTTATCCTCTCCTCCCTGCCTGGAGATCGGGGAGGCTCTGGAAGTGCTTAGGCTATTGTAAATCAGCTTTTATGATTTGCATGTCGGAGATAAGCAGCGAAAAAAGAATCAGTTGGGGGATCCAGCTCTTTCCTGCCCTGACAGTTATCCCAGTAATGAAATTAAAAGAAAAAAATGACTGGAGAGTGTGATTTGTGGCAGAATAGTTTCTCCGTAGTCATCTCCAGTGTTAAAACCGGGCTCTTCGACAAACGTTGCTTCATTGTTGCATCCTTTTTTTGTTTGTTTTTTGAGGTGTAACTTACATAAAGTAAAGGAAACAGATATGAAAACTACATTTCAGTGAAACTAATGAAATATGTCTCATTAATATGAATATGAAAAAAATTTCATATTCAAATATGAAAACTACACTTCATTTTTTACACACGTGTATCTTTTTGTAACCATCATCCAGATCTAGCTATAGAAAGATTCCAGTGTTCTAGAAGCTTCCCTCGGGCCCCCTGCCACTGCCCTGAGCCCTGTCACCATAGGTAGTCTTAGCCTGTTCTTGAACTTCATGTAAGTGGAATCACACAGCATGTACTCTCTCTGTGTCTTCGAGCATTTTCCATGAGATACAGCCAAGTCATTGTGTGTCATTATTCATTCTCATTGTGTAGTGTTTAATTGTATCAGGATTTCTGAACTGTGGCATTGTTGATGTTTGAGGAGGGATAATTCTTTGGGGGGTTGGGGAAGCTGTCCTGTGCATTATGGGATGTTTAGCAGCCTCTCGGGCCTCTACCTACCTAATCTACCGTGTTTCCCCGAAAATAAGACAGGATCTTATATTTAGTTTTCCTCGAGAAGACACCCTAGGGCTTATTTTCAGGGGATGTGTTATTTTTTTTAAGTACGGTACAGCAATCTACATTGATTCAAATAGAGTTAAATCATCTTCTTCTGGAACATCATCATCACTCTCCAAACCCCAAATCCCATCCTGAATGTCTTGCGACTCTGTTTCCTTTAGAACCACTGGCCCCGATCCTCTCATGTGGGAGCCATAGAGACTCTCGTGGGGCAAGATGAGAGGGAGGGCTGACTCGTGGGTCTTTCCCCGGCTCCGCGACGACATGCATGGTTGTGCAGATGCCGTCCAATAGCGCACGCCATCACTAGGGCTTATTTTCATAGCCCACCGCCCATCGCTAGGCTTATTTTCATCAGCCACGCCCCATGCGCTAGGGCTTATTTTCATAGCCACGGCCCATGCGCTAGGGCTTATTTCAGGTAGGTTTATTGGTGCACATGCTTAGAATCCTGTAGGGGTTATTTTAGGGTAGGGCCTTGGTCTTGTTCACGGAGAAACACAGTAGATGCCAATCGTTGCGACCATTACCGATTCGGGGACCAAACTAAAACTGCCTCCGAGAGTTATTTTCTAGGTTTCCTGCAGAATTGGAAACGATGGCATCCTATAAATATGCTCCAAGTTTAAAGAAACCTTTCATTTGGAAATCATTTGAAACTTGCTGAAAAGCTGCAAAAAATAGAACAAACAACGCCTAGGATGTAACTCAAAAAAAATATAACACCTCGTATTATACCTATTGTAAGCACACATTTGGCTCACGTGTTACCACAAGCACACCTCACCACCCTTTATTCCATTTGAAGGACAAGTTGCCTCCTTCCGGGCCAATTGCCACCATATCCTTCGGTGTATATTTCCCAAGAATGAGCACCTCGTCCCACATTATCACGGTGATCAATTATCCAAAGTAGATCTCGCATAATACGTTTATGTATTGCCCATGTTCCAATTTTTCAGTTGAGCAAAAATTAGCCCTTATAGAATTGACTTTTCCATACAGAGCAGGTTCCAGTCCAGGATTGTGTATTATATATATGTGGTTGCCATGTTTCCTTAGTACCCTTTAATCTAGAACATTCCCTCGGCCTTTTTTTTTTTTTTTTCTTCTGCCTTAAGACCACAGTGCCCTTTTTTCTTAATAGAACATTTCTCCTCTTGGGACTGGTTCCATATTTCCTCCTGCAAACATTCAGGGCATGCATTCCTGGCTGGAATCCTACAGAAAGGACAATGTCACTGTTTTTAGGACATCCTCCGTAAGCATGCACGACGTCCAGTTGCACCTCATTGGTTTTGTCACGTTTGAGTTCCAGGTCCAGGCGTTGTCTGATTCTGCCGTTGCTTAATTGCTAATGCTTCCCTTACAACTAATAAGCGCTACGTGGCTAAACACTTTAAAACCCGCTTTGCCTTTGCATTTTTACCCGCCAGATTTAGCATAGTTTTCGACTATGGCATGAAGCACTCTTTTGTCTCCAACGATTACAAAATGATTTTCCAAATCTGGCCCTCCTCCCCCTTCTCAGACATTCACTCTGTATCGAGGAGCCCTCTCTTTTCTCCCATTTATTTGTTCATTGATGCTTTGATCTGCTATCGGTATGGACTTGTGAATTCCTATTTGTTTCAGTGAAACTGCCCTTAAATATTTTAATGCTCAGATTGTTCCGATTTGGCCAGTGGGCGCCCCTTCAGCTTGGGCCCTGTGTGCTTCTGACAAACCCTCATCACATTTGATTTTCAATACTTCCATTCTTCGTAGCATAATAAGATGTTCCGGGTTCATCTTTTATTGTCCTTTTTCTTTATCCTGGAATTGGCCGTTTTTCCAACAAGACTTCGTACTTTTTTCTTGGGAATGGTAGTAAATACTACAATTTATCCATTTTTCTGCTTATTGATATTTGAATTATTTCCAGTTCTGGGATATAATGAGAGAACAAGGCTTCTCTTAATACTCTTATATGTTTTTCAGCCCTTTGTACTAACTTTTGTTGGGCATATAACCAAAAGTGGTTATGTAAAGTCATAAAATCTCCACTCTTGGTTATATACCCAACAGAAATGAGTGCATATGTCCACAAAAAAATGGACAAGGTGGCTTTATTCAAAGTGGCTTTATTCAGAATTCCTATATGGATATGTACACATATTTAGCTGCAGTAGTTAGTCTCAAATCATTTTTCAAAGTGCTCATAACATTGCTTTGGTTATGTCAGAGAAGAAGAAGTCATCGGCCTCAGCAGGAGGCAAGAATAATCAGTGACAGCGGTGATAATGGTCGTTTGCAATCCCAAGTTGTGTTGTCCTGTGACCAGAAATGGCTAAATTGCTGGTCCTTTCAATGTATAAGGAATGGGCAATGCTGAGACTTCCCCACCTGGCCCATTCTTGAGTATTTCCTTAGTGCTGCCAGGAGCGGTGGCTCACACCTGCAATCCTAGCACTCTGGGAGGCCGAGGCGGGTGGATCGCTCAAGGTCAGGAGTTCGAAACCAGCCTGAGCAAGAGCAAGATCCCGTCTCTACTATAAATAGAAAGAAATGAATTGGCCAACTAAAAATATATATAGAAAAAATGAGCCGGGCATGGTGGCGCATGCCTGTAGACCCAGCTACTCGGGAGGCTGAGGCAGGAGGATCGCTTGAGCCCAGGAGTTGGGGGTTGCTGTGAGCTAGGCTGACCCCACTGGGCAACAGAGTGAGACTCTGACTCAAACAAACAAAAAAGAAAGATGAGCAGAATGGAAGTTGCAGAAGTCACTGTGCCCCACTACCTTCAAAATAGTCTTCGTCTCAGGGATGTCAGGAGCTCATTTGACCGCACTTAGGAAATGAGGGGCACTGCTAGGAGCATGGGCTGTTAGGAAGCATTAGAGCCACTGCTTTATTTCCTAAAGTGCCTCCCCAGGGAACCAAGGGGTGTCCCAGGGTTTGACTCATTTCTTCTGGCTGCTAGAGACCCATTTATAACCCCGGAGAAGTCACTAAACAGGTTGACAGGGTCAATATTCCTCTAGCTACAAACTAGGGAGTCTCTTAGTGTCCAATCCAAGAAACCCGAGACCGAGGGCTCCCTGCCTCTTAGGGACAGCGGGCAGAGCGGCTAACAGAGAAGTAAGCTGGTCCAGCGTCATGGATCTAGTGTTGGGCATTGCCAAGAACAGCGTGGACGCGGCCCAGCCTCTATAGCTTAAGTTTCCTCGTCCAAAAGATCTGCCCTACGGAGCTTATAGTGCATCATTAGAGTCAGAGGAGTAAGTGAAGCACTTTGTAAAATGAAACGGCAAACAGAGGAAACATCGTGCATGAGATATGCAGTGGGCGCTTTGTAACTCTGATGAATGAGCCTTTGGAGCAGGGGTCCTCAGACTTTTTAAACAGGGGGCCAGGTCACCGTCCCTCAGACCGTTGGAGAGTGCGCACTGTGGGCCAGGGATGAGTCGGCTGCTAAGCAGGACAGGCAGCTGCGGCAACAACACCTGGAGGGCCGGATAAATGTGCTAGGCCAGCCGGCGGTAGTTTGAGGACACCTGCAAGTTTGCAGGAATTAGTAACTAGTAAAATGGATCTTTGTGGGTGCAATTTAAGCCAGTGCCCCCTCTAGGTGGGCCCTGGTGGGTAGAGCCGTCCTCACTCACATACACGTGTACCACCTGAGAGAGCCCTTGCGCAGTGCGCAACACAACTGTGCGTACCGACTCGCCTTGTTGCGCATTTGTATATGTGGGTTTGTTTATTTATTTATTGTCTTTGGTTTGATCACCTGCTGAGCGCGTTTGTATTAACCTCTGCGGTCCTCTCCTCTATCCCCCACCCCACCCCTCGCTCCAGGCCTCTCCGCGGATGGCGGCGCCAAGCGCCAGGAGCACCTCTCGCGGTTTTCCATGCCCGACCTCAGCAAGGACTCCGGGATGAACGTCTCCGAGAAGCTGAGCAACATGGGCACGCTCAACTCGTCCATGCAGTTCCGGAGCGCGGAGTCGGTGCGCAGCCTGCTGTCGGCGCAGCAGTACCAGGAGCTGGAGGGCGGCCTCCACCAGCTCGGCGCCCCGCTGGGCTACCGGGACCTGCAGTCCCGCGCGGGCCGCATGCACCAGAGCTTCGACTTCGACCCGGGGCTGGCGGGCGGCAAGGTGCCCGGGGGGCCGGAGGGCGCGCGCGTGCAGCCGCTGAGCGAGCGCACGCGGAGGAGGGCCACCGCCGGCGCCTCGGCGGCGCGCGGGGACGGCGACGGGCGCCCTTCCGGCCGCACCGGTCCCGCCGCTCGCGCGCTCGCGCTCCGACAACGCGCTGCACCTGGCGGGCGAGCGCGAGCCGCGGCGGGCTGCACGAGCGGCCCCGTGCGCCGCGCGCGAGGACTGCGGCCGTTCGTGCGCCAGCGCAGCTTCCAGGAGAGCCTGGCGCACGCCGGGTCCCGCCGGGACCTGTACGGCCAGTGCCCGCGGACCGTGTCGGACCTGGCCCTGCAGACGCCTTCCGGGACCGCTGGGCCCCTACCTCGCCGAGTACGAGTGGTGCTCCACCTGCTCCTCCTCCTCCGAGTCGGACAACGAGGGCTACTTCCTGGGCGAGCCCATCCCGCAGCCCGCGCGCCTGCGCTACGTGACCAGCGAGGAGCTGCTGCACAAGTACGGCTCCTACGGCCTCCCGCGCCGCCCGCGCTGGCCGGCAGCGCGCGCAGCTGCACAGCAGGAAGCGGCAGAAGAGCAAGAACTGCGTGGTCTCCTAGTGGCGCGCGCGTGCGACGGGGCCGGCCGGGCAGGGGCGGGAGCGGAGGGCGCGTCCGCGTCCGGGAACCTGCGCTGTTTCCAGTCTGCAAGCGCTTTTGTCGGAGGGGGTGGTGGCGAGCGCTGGGGGTTTGCAGGGAGGGGGGGGAGACAAGGATGCAGGCGGAGCTGCAGGTGGCCCACGAGGTCGTCACAAATTCTTTGGCATGTCGAGTATTATTTGCACATTTCACTTTGGAAATACACAGCGGACTCGGTGGAGGCCAGGGCTCGGTCGCCTCTTCCGCGGGTCTGCGTCCAGGGGCGCTTGTTTTCCTGCTCGCTTCGTACCTCTCTGGTTCTCTTACTTTTAGGACTCTCTCTCTCTCTCTTTTTTTTTTCTTCCGTAAGTAATTTGTTTATTAGCCAGGACCCAAGACTTAAGTTATTTACATGTCAGTAGAATGCAATGGTAAATGAGAATTCTGATAAAATATTTTTGTATTTTGTAATATCAAAGGGATTTCTATATATCGTAGGACTCAGTGGCAACTTGCATGCACTACCACCATTGTCTTTTGAGTAGGGTGAGAAGGTGGCCCAGGAACCGCCTTTCTTGCTTTCTTTCTTTCTTTTCTATACAAATTTGTTACATGTCAGTGAGACCTTTTTCAAAGGGATATATATTCAATTTGGCTTTTTGTGGCTGAAACAACAATACATAACTATCAGACCCAAAGCATTTTATGCCCATTCCATCTCTCTTAAGCCCTCCTTAAGTCTGCTCCCACCCTCGGTAGAATTTATTTTTACTCTACAAAGTGGTAGTATTTTGGTTTTTGGTTGTTTTTTTTTTTTTTTTCTTTTTTAAATTGCACATGTAACTTTCACCCATTAGAGAAACCAATCAGTGTCAGTAAAGTTCCGTGAGAAATGTCGTCCCTGCTGGGAACCGTTGAAGTTGCTTAACGTCGATCTATATCCCTTGGGGAAAAGTGACAGTGGCTGTGAGTGGTGCTGTCCCGTGATGTCAGCATGACGTCGTTTTGAGTGTGGCATTGCGTTCTGGTGCTCACGTTTCCTGGATCGTGTTACCTGCTTTCCTTTACCCAGGCAGACAGGACTGCCACCTTCGTAGCCTGACAACCGGTTGTCCTCAAAGCAAATGAACTGAAGCATTCGGAATCGAGGGGCAGAAAGGTTCTAGGGGGGTCTGGGGGGGACGGGGTGTGTCGCATGTTACGCGTGGAGACAGAACAAGGCAGTTTGCAAACAGAAAGCAGAGCGAGGGGTAGAAGTTGCAAGGAGGAGGGTCAGGGACAAGAAGAACTTTCTAGAAATGAGATAGAAGCGAGGTGACAACCACCTTGGACAGCCCCCAGAGCTTGTAGACAGAGAGAATCCAGCTTAACTAAGGCTTGGGAACCAGACCATCTGGGTTCTTTAGGAAGGATCAGCTGCTGAGATTTTAGTGTCATGACTTTGGGCAAAAAATCAAAACAAAACAAAAAAAAAACAACAGACTTTGTTGAAGGGAGATTTCCATTTTTAACGTTGAGGACTGTTGGTCAGATGGAAAAATGGGCTCAAAAGTGAGTTTGCTTAACGAAGACATTTTAACGGTTGTGCTGTTTATAGTAAAATAAAACTTCCTCCCTTGCTTCAGTTAAACATGAAGCACTTGCTTTTTCCTTCCAACCTCCTCCTCCCCTTTAATGGATTGTGGCAGTCGAAATAGTCCAGCAGGGGACCCGCCTGCTGTGGGCTGTCCCTTGGAGGTAGCCCACGGCTGTCTGCCATGGTGAGGTGTGAGCGTGGTCTCTTTTCAGTACCGTAGTTCACATTTTCTAGTATTTTCCTTGGAGAGAATGTGCACCGTGGCTTGTCAGACACTATCCCAAATGGGGGTCTGGGGAAAGGAGAGCTGTAAAGGCCATGGTCATGACACTCCATTCAGGATGTATTAAAATAATTTGCTTTTCAGGTATTAATATGACATTTGTCATTGTCACTGATTTTTTTTTTTTTTTAGAAAAAAAAAAAAAAGAAAGCAATGCAAATGTTGGTTGTGGCCGTTTTCCGCATGCTATCTTCATATCTAAATGCTTCATTAATTATCCGAGCCTCCGGAGAATTAACTCTTATTATGTTTGTATAGTAAGTTTGTAAACTGCTTGGCAAACTGATTAAGAAATAATGTGCAAACACCACGCTACTAAAGTGGCAGGTTTCTGGTAGAAATCGGACGAGTCCAATTTGGAGTTTTGGGTTCCTTGATCGATGAGAATAAAAAGGCAATTTTTTTTTTTTTTTTTTTTTTTGGAAAAAGGAAAGAGAAGGGAAAAGGAGATCACTTTAACTTAGCAAATGGTTGAAAACAAGTCCGTCTTCTGTGGCCCCGAATTCAGTGACAGAAATTCTCCTGGTAAAAGTTGCTTCCTAGCTGTGTTCTTCTCCAAGCACCTCTTACAATTCCCCACAAAAAGCTTTACCCACCATCAGCAGAAGGAAGGTGGCTTAGAAACTGACGCCGCATAACCAGTCCCGAGGTATAAGTAAGACATTGCAGGTCTTGATGCCCAGAAAGTATCCAGGGATTGACCTGGTCAGAGCTTGAGAAATTAATGGGATACAGGCCTCAGAGTCACACTGTCTACTAGCAAGGTCACCTGCATCCATTGCACCACCGCAGATCTCTTCTTCCTACCTACCCCAAATGCAGCCGGGCACCTTCCAGAGAATGGGGGAGGAGGAAGGCCCCTGTCTTAAGATGATGGTGGGAACTCCAAGCCAATGCCCTATCGAGGACAGGATGTCATTGTATTGGGACTTCCACCTGTGAGTGATAACTCACACATGACCTCCCAGAATCCCAATCCCCGAAATTTAATGCATTTTTTTTTCCTGAGGCAAGAAACTTAAGGGACCTTACCTGATTGCCTAATCGTCATCATTAGCTCTTTAGTGGTCAACATTTCTCCCTTGGGTGGGGCCTCTACTCACTTCTTAGATCATCGTTTCAGCCTTCATAGACTGGTTTTCAGAAGAATAATCTCTTCCCAGTGTTCTCTCCTCTCTAATGGCTTGGCTGGGTTGGGTTTTTTGGTTCTGTTTTGTTCTGTTTGGTTTTCCTACCTCTCCTAATATCGATCTTCTTGTCTTTTGGTTAGAACCCCAACTTTGGAATTCAGTTCATTTCCTATCACTGCTCAGTTTAGTGGCAACATAGCTGGCCCCTTCCCAGGCCCAAGAACTCTACCGTGTTTCCCCAAAAATAAGACCTATACCCATAAAATAAGCCCTAGCAGGATGTCTAAGCATGTGCGCAGTAGAAGCCCTACCCTGAAAATAAGCCCTAGTGATGGGCATGGCTATGAAAATAAGCCCTAGTGATGGGCGTGGCTATGGAAAAAAAATCAGCCCTGGTGGGCGTGGCTATGAAAATAAGCCTTCGTGATGGGCGTGGCTATGAAAATAAGCCCTAGTGGTGGGCGTGGCTAAGCAGCGCATCTGCACAACCCATGCGTGGCGTCGTGGAGCGGGAAAGAACACGAGCAGCCCTTCTCATCTGCCCCATGACAGCTCTATGGCTCCACATGAGAGATCGGGGGCTAATGGTTCTAAAGGAAATAGAGTCGCAAGACATTCAGGATGGGATTCGGGGTTTGGAGAGTGATGATGATGTTCCAGAAGAAGATGACTTCACTCTATTTGAATCAATGTAGATGGTTGTACCGTACTTAAACAAAATGACACATCCCCTGAAAATAAGCCCTACTAGGGTGTCTTCTTGAGGGAAAATAAATACAAGACCCTGTCTTATTTTGGGGGAAACACGGTATAAGTCATTGCCACTTTCCTGAATGGCCCTGCCGACACATACTATCCTTGATACTGTTGAGAAAGTTCCTTAGCAGCCAGGTGGCACAGAGCATGGCATTTGGGGACCCTTCCTTCTGTCCTTCTGGGGCCTCTACCGAGGGGGAAGGTGAATGGGGGAGGGGCGTCGGAAGAGCCGTGCTTCCTGGTTTCTCGCCTGTGCCAGAGAGAGATCCCGGTGCTGGTCATTTGCTACCTTCTTTCTGTCCATAGTCCTTCCTTTCTGCTCCCAACCAGCTAAGCAAACAAGCAATTTTGTGTTTCTAACTTGGGCCCTGGAGGCAGCCCTTTCTCACCCCGCACGATGCTCCTGCACTATAACAAGGTCATTATTTTCTTCTCTTCCTGCAACAGCTTTCTGCTCCTTGGGTACCGCCAGCTATCGTTGAGTTCGGGCGGGGCCAGGGATGGCGTTTACAGTGGCGAGTGCTTTGCACTCCCCACAGCCTGAGCTAGAGAGAGCCAGGGTGTCACTGCAGAGTTTCCCGGACAAGGCAGGTGCAGCCTCAGAAATCTTTGCGACCCTCTGGGTCAGCCAGGGCCACTGGATCGCAGCTGATCTTACTTGTCTGATAGCCAGCCTCATTCGTGAACCGGTTCTTATCTGTCTCCCACCCTCGGCTCTCTTGCTGTGGAACAGAAAAGACAGACCAGACATTTAGGGAGCCTCGTTCACGAGAACTTTGGAGACTGCCCCGACGATCATGGCGGCTAGAGGAAGCTTGCTTCTCGGGCTAAAAAGGATGACCAGTGTCTTCGGCCTTTGCCATTTTCCTGGTCTTTGCCGGTGACCAGAGGCGGGCGGCCTTCTGTGCGTTTTGCAGAGATCAGATAACACTCGCTTCTTATTCTTCATCTCATCCCACCTTCCAGCAAGAAATGGAAACAAGTGTCCAAATCCCAAAAAAGAAATGCTCTTTGTGTATTTCTAACAGAAACCAGATGCTGACGTCTAGAAAGGAGGATCCATGTATGACAAAGGAAAGGGGAACATCGAGCCAGTTATTAATAATACTTCCTGCCAGAGGCGTTGCTAATAGCAACCGTTCAGCACCTTCGGGGGCCTTAAAATGGGCCACGCAGGCAGGCGGCATTCCACCCGCAGGACTGTCGCCAAGCTGCCTCTGCCATGCAGAAGGCAGTT